TGGCTGCCCCGCCCGCCCCAGCTCCTGGCACTTGTTTAAAAAAAAGCCCTGACTCAGCAGGTGCTGCCAGGCAGGGGGGCAATCTCCACTGCCCCCCACTACCCAACACTACATGGGAGGCTCTGCATGAGCTCTCCAACACCCCCTCGCTCCCTTGGCGCCCCCACAGGTGCCCTGCCCGGGCGAGCTCTGGCCCTTTAAGAACAAAAAAAACCCCAGACTCACCACTCCTGCTGGCAGGGGGTGATCCCTGCTGCCCCTTGCTGCCCCACGCCACGTTTTTTTTCTTAAAGGGCTGGAGATGGCCCAGGCAGGGCACCTGTGGGGAAGCAGGGGGGAGGGTTGAGGGGGCTCATGCAGAGTCCCCCATGCAGCATGGGGCAGTGGGAATCACCCCCAACCTGGCAGCACCTGGTGAACACCGGGGCTTTTCTTTAAAGTAAGGAGCTGGGATGGGCAGGGGCAGCCATGGGGAGTAGGCAGGGGTCGGGGGCACTGGGGACCCCCGTCCCCCCTTCCCCCACCCCTAGTACTTACCAGCTCAGAGTCAGCTTCAGCTCCCTTATGCAGCCACTGGGGACTGCCCAAATCATCAAAGCTCTCCGAATCTTGTATGAAAATCCGGAGAGCTTAGAATCGATTCGGACCTTTAAATTGGTCCCGATTCGATTTGGATTCAGAGGTTCAGCCACCGAATTGGGCCAAATCTCCTCCAAATCAAATCTCCACTCAAAGCTTCGCATAGCCCTAGCTAGGAACTGCCTCTTCCTTCTGCCCATCTTGCACAGCTAACCACCTCTGTACTGTTTGCAGTGCAGCATCAGAGACCCATATGAATAGGGTCTTGTATTTCTGCTCTAAAATAAACCAGGTCACAACACAGAGGTAGCCATTAGAGCACAGACTGCCCATCATGCAGAGGCAGAGAGACACTTCTAAGCAGCCACAAGCTACACGCACACCCGCTCTAAACACTTGCACCACACAGACACACACATCTGCTCTCCACTGTTTGACTTTAGCCCCAGTCACATGAATCTTCCCAAAGGTCTGTCTCCCTGCCATGTGTATTTCCCCTACAGGTCACTGGTGTGTGGCAGGGCACGCTAGGCCTGTCAGCAACATAGCAGGAAGAATGACTTAGGGTAAATTGCGCGTTCCCAACACACATGCTGCTCATCTCATCACCCTTTTCCTCCACCCTCACCCGCATCCTTTCCAACCCCCATGCGCCTGCGCCCAGCTGGGGAGTTACAAATGGTTCAGACACGGTTCAAGGGTGCCAGGATCTTCTCCAGTCCCCCACTGACAGAGCTGCAAAGATGTGAAAACAAGACCCCTGGCCTGTTTCTGCTTCATTCCACGCAGGCTGCCGGTGTCAGGTTAGCACTTCAGAACCATCAGCGTCTGAAACAACAGGCCCCCAGCCATGAGGGACCCGCTCCCAGGGCATTTGTCACACCCCAAGGCTGCTGCCTTTCATCAGACCTGACTCTTCCCTGTCATGCTCTCCCCCATCCTTAGCCTGTGGGAGCGGGTGACAGTTCTTCTGACAACACTTGTGCATCCCAGTGAGCAATAAACAGGCCTAGCACGCATGTATAAGAGGGAGAGTCCCAAAGTGTGGGGGACCAGGATGGAGCTTCTCACCAAGTTGCAGCACACTGCCCAGGCATGGCGGTCTGGGTGTGCTGCCACTGGAGTACGACAAATTCATCCTGCCCCCACACTGCCACTGTCACGAGGAAGTGGGTTATTTCTGGTGATGTGCCTCAGATTTCCAGGGAAAAGAAAGATTCATGTCTCCAGAATGGACTAAAAAAAAGGCAAAGATGCTTAGCAGCAATGATCAGTGCCCACCTGGATAGGGGACGAGGATGGGAAGGAGAAGGGCAGACTGTTGGCACCTATGCTGTGGCACACTATCTGGCAGACATGGTGGCAGCCTACATTCACACACAGCCCACAGACTATCTACCAGCATGGCTGGGGCCTTCTTCCATGCAGTGGCATGGCTCAGTGAGCTTTGAGTCTCTAGGGCAGCTCAGTTGGCGGGGGTATGCCTGTCACTCAGTGTTGTTTTGGGGCTCACTGTGGATGTCTTGGCTGTAACCAGACATGAACATCCCCCCCAATTCTGGTGAACAAGTTAAGAGGCTGTGACTTGGATGACTACACAGTCCGGTGGGTGGCGAATTGGCTAGAGGGTCGCACCCAGGGAGTTGTGGTGGATGGGTTGGTTTCAACCTGGAAGCGTGTGGGCAGTAGGGTCCCGCAGGGCTCGGTCCTTGGACCGATACTCTTTAATGTCTTCATCAGCGACTTGGACGAGGGAGTGAAAAGTACTCTGTCCAAGTTTGAAGATGACACAAAGCTATGGGGAGAAGTGGACACGCCGGAGGGCAGGGAACAGCTGCAAGCAGACCTGGACAGGTTGGACAAGTGGGCAGAAAACAACAGAATGCAGTTCAACAAGGAGAAATGCAAAGTGCTGCACCTAGGGAGGAAAAATGTCCAGCACACCTACAGCCTAGGGAATGACCTGCTGGGTGGCACGGAAGTGGAAAGGGATCTTGGAGTCCTAGTGGACTCCAAGATGAACATGAGTCGGCAGTGTGACGAAGCCATCAGAAAAGCCAATGGCACTTTATCGTGCATCAGCAGATGCATGACGAATAGATCCAAAGAGGTGATACTTCCCCTCTATCGGGCGCTGGTCAGACCGCAGTTGGAATACTGCATGCAATTCTGGGC